GGTTCAGCCATGCTAGCTCGTCCTCACACACGTGGAGCGGGGGTGGGGGCCGGATGAACTCCGGCCGGAAGTGACCTGAGCGCAGAACAACCAGGTTACCGTTTGTGAATCTGTCGTTCACAAAGCAGAACATGGAATAAAAAGCAAAGCCTTACTCTCCAGCGGCGGCCGTGGCCCCGTGACCAGAGACTCTATGATCTGATTGGCTACGGAGCTGTCGAATCCTGAGTTGGAGGAGTCTGGGTCTGGGTCGTTCAGGATGCTGGGGAAGCTGGCTTTGCTCTGAGTGGGCAGCTCCGACTGACGCTCTGCGAAGCGAAGACGCACACACTTGATCCTCCGATCTCAATTTGTGAACTTACCTCCAACACAAGGATTCAACTGGCGTCTGCTGACCTGCTAAAGCTAGCTGCAACTGATGTCAATGGACTGGGGCATGTTGGTAATGTCCATGCAGGACACCTGTCTGGGCGTCTTCTTGAACAGATCTCTGGGCGGTGCCAGCATCAGCTGGGACAGGAAGAACTTCTCCGGTTGGGTGATGGGCGGCAGGAAACCTGGACATACAAAACGGACACAAGGCATTCAGTTAAAGATGTTTAGATGACAGATAAAACCTAATTCTGAACATGAACGCTCCAAAATGTTGACAATCTAATAGGGGCTTTCTAATCCAGAAATGCTATTTTGTGTCAGACACACGCACAAAAGCATTCAGAAGGGCATATTTTTTGTCAAGGAGAAGGGTTTTCTAGCACCATCTAGTTCTATATGTACACATCCCTGAATAAAAATTATTAGAAAGAAGGATGAAGGTATTAAATACTCTTTACAAACATCTTTTCTTCAGTATCCAAAGAAATAATGCTGCTAAAAAGCATCATTATCTAGCCGTTATTTATGAAAGTTTAGTTACAAAAATTTGGATTTATTTTCAGACCAACATAGTGGATCAGAAATTTTTTGCAGTTTGAATTAACACCATATTATTCTGCGTAAACCACCAGGACCAAGAGAGTATTAGGATCGTAGTAAGAAAAAATAAAAATGATAAGAATTATTTGAAAAATGTATTTGCCCTATGGGATCAATAAAGTTTTCTTAATAAAATCGTAATATTGCAAGACTAAACTCATATTTAGGCCTGTCCAATAAGCCATAAATCAATTAGCTGCATGATAAACTAAAACAGGACGACAAAAGTTTGCAGTCTGGTGCTTTGGTCTCAAAGAACTATTTTCTAAGGGCAATTTTGTATACAGAGACTTCAACGATAAATTTTATTTGTCTTTGTATTTACTTTGAACATTTCAAATGTCTTCCAGCTCCAGTGGGAAATGTTCATTAAAATTTAAGACTTATTAATTTTTGAGAATGGATCATTATTATTATTATCATGCCATAATATTTTATGAAAATTGTACCAAAAAACAATATTACCGTTAATCACGATTCTGGGACAATTTATTGTCCAGGAAAGTCTGTTATCGACAATATCTTTTTGAGAGTAATGTCGGAATATTACCAAAATAAAGTTGTAATATTATGAGTTTATTATCGTATTATTTCGACTTTATTGATCCACTTGACTATCTTCACCTCATTTATGTGTTTCATCTCCTTAGGTTCAAAGTCCCTCTTGAGTTAAAAATATAAAAACTAACCAAAACAAATGAACAGATCATAGCCCTACCTGACAGCACCTTCTCCTGCTGCTCGTCTCCCGGCGCGGGGTTCAGTAAGTGGGCGAACACAGCCGCGAACGGGTTGGCAGCCAGCGGCTCGGTCCTGTACATCTCCCAGAGCAGGTAGAGGGCGGTGAGCCGCTGCGGGGAGCTCGGCAGCAGGTCGGGCTGCTGGAGTAGCATGACCAACACCGACCCTATCCTGAAGTGCTCCGCCTTCCCGAAGTAATGGTGGAAGTGGGTGGAGAGGTTTTCGAAGGTGTTGGAGCAAGCCTCCTCCGAGATGATGCTCAGCAGGTTCGACAGTTCCTTTGGGGCGAGAGTCATTGTGGTGGTCTCTCACCCGGTTTTGTTCTGCTTTAGCGTTAGCTCCCTTCGTCTTCAAAAAACAAACAAACAAACAAAAAAACCAAAACGACGTATTTCTAAATGAATAAAGATACAATAAAGTATCTTGGTCGAGAAATGTTAATTCATGTTTGAGTATGTTGAGAAAACACCATAAAAATATTGACTCGGCATTAGCATCCTGAGCTATGCTAGCAATAACTTACCATGGTTTACATGGTAATGCTAACTAAAAACAGACGGAGAGGTCAGTCAAAAACCTGACATTGCGACCCAAGAAGTTACTATGAACAACTCCGTGACTACAATTTGTCGTATAAAACCAATAAAGCCTCACTGAATCGGACATGGGAGCCAAAAAGCGTTTGACGGCCTTAAAATTTGGTTTCTGGAGAATCTAGCCGTTTAAATTTGAGATAGGACACTTCCGTTGAGTTGCATCATGGGACATGTAATTTCATTGTATGGAGTTTCACATTTAATTTAAAATGAAAAGTAGGTCTTAAGTGCAATTTTTATCACGCGCGTGAGGTGAAGAAATACAAATAGTTATGCTTTATGAAAGCTTTTCATTTTTAACCACCATTATGAAAGCGTGAACCCCAGATTCCCTTCGCCTTGTTTGCTAATATCAGTTTACCCAGAGGTCCTTACGACACAACTTCCTCTTTTTGTCCTGTCAAAATAAAATCTGGAAAACTAGAAGATGAATTAACTTCAAGATACTATCCCGTGGTGTACGTTTTTACACCAACATATACATTGGAAATAAATGTATGAAGTTGCACAATAGGACTTTACAAAGAAATAAATAAAATTAAAAAAATTATTTTATTATTAAGAATTTACCTGGTACACTCATGTGTTGTTCATATTCATGTTTGTTACCAGCTGATTACTTTTGTAGTAGAAAGTAATAAATAACAGTTTATTTTCTAACAGTAAATGTGCGAGAAAGAGACAAGAAACAAGGAAGGATGTTAAAACATTTATTAGTAATTTCCTTTTGTTTTCTGTCTTACAAAACAGTAATGTGCTCAGAGTTCAGGTTCCGTTTTGAAAGCAGAAAGCTCGTCCAGAGAACACGTTGCACTGGGAAGATGCAGGAACACCACGGAAAACACGTAACAAAGAACCCCCCCCAAAAAAACTCAACAAGGACTGAAGACATGAAGCAAAAATATAGATGTTTTTCATCTCAGTTCAAATTCAGTCTCCTACAAAAAATGAGTGCACAACAACAAAAAAATATAATAATAATAATAATGATGATAAACTCCTCAAAAATGCTTCAAATCACAAATTAATTGTGCTTAGTGTTGATCCAAAAAATAACATACACAAGCTTAAATGTGATTATTGAGATCCTGGGAAACATTTCAAAGATAAAACATGTTTTGAGCATCAGATTTGTTGAAGGAGTCTGTACCGTTTCACGGTTAATTTCTCCGTCGGCATTTTCTTTAAAGGGATGCTGCAGCAAAAGCAAAGTTGCCAAGATGACGTATTGATTAGAAGCATAAACAAGCTCCTTCGTGATGTCACATTGTGCACAGATTTTCATAAATATTTCAAGTCATCTTTTCTAGTTCCTCTTTAAAATGCCTCTTGAAACACTGCACAGGAATATACTGTTTTTAAAAAAGGTCCAGCTTCACAAGTTTGGTTGTGATTCATACACAGATACCTGCATTCTCATCACGTCACACACAAACGTACATTTGGCACAAAATATCCGCCTGCATCTTTGACACGCTGCAAAGTCCAAACACTCCGCAGCGCTGTTAAAGGAAACAAAACACAGAACTGCACAAGAACAGAGCACTTCAGACGAAGAACCAGACAGTAAAACAGTAAAAAAGAAAATTAAAAAATCCACTACAAAGACAGATATTGTGAAAATAAAATAGTAAATACACGTGTCAGTTATATATATGTATATATATATCAGGCATGCAGGCAGTCACGCTGTAAACTTTAAAACTGGCGACAGGTTCAGAATCTCCACCTGGCAAATTGTTTGGGTTCACTTCACCACCACAGAGACAGTCTGAAACATGGACATCCATCACCAAAGATTTCTGATTTGCTGTTAGCCTGAGAGCGGTTTGCAATCTGGGCTTGCATGTTTTGATTTATTGCAATATAAAAAAAATTAAACGGCTGCTTTCTGCCTGTGCAATGTGAAGGTAAATGGGGGTTCTCCACTTTGAGTATTTTATTGTTTTAGTGCTTTTCTGCTTGAGTTTGTGTTGGTTTGTAGTGTGTGTGAGGAAACCTTGTTTTGTCACAAATGCACTACTTTTTAAAAATCCATTCTGCCCCAAAACGCCGTCATAACCGTCAGTACTGAAAACCAGTGTTTTTAAAAGTGTGACCCGCCAGGGGGCGCTAAGGGAGCCTCAGACAGTTGGAGGGAAGATGAGGAAGAAAAAAAAATGGAATCCCAGACATGTTTGAATGAGGTTTTCTTTATGAAAGCTAATGTGTTTTTCAATCATTATTGAAAATATAAGTTAAAATAACATCAGTTGAAATCGAAAAAAAAATCATTTTGTCTGTGTTAAAATTCACTGGCTCAGTCGGTAAAATCTTCTCGATTCTAATAATCGCAAGACAGAAAGAACCCCGATAAAAATAGTCATTAAGTATCTTTTCTTTTGTCCTTTGGCACTTACTCTCCTCATGGCAAAATGCAAATGAAAAAAAAAAACAAACAAAAAAAAAATAAACATATGGTAAAGTTACATTAGAAAGTTAATACTGAGGAAACAAAAATCTGACACAAACTAAACAGATTCTCACACACCTTCAAAAGGTCCAGCAAACAGTTGTGCTGCTTCAACCTCATCAGATTAAAGCGTTAAAAACTCTATGACCGAACAGGTGCAAACTTTTACTTTTAGGCTAAATCGAGAAGGAAAAGTGCAGCAGGGAAAGTCGATAACACTTCACAATTACGTTATGTTTTGTTTGACTATGAAGTCAAATCCAAACCAACTACAATGAGGTTTGTGGTTGAAATGTGACAAAATGCGAAAAAGGTCATGAATAATTGTGCAAGGCACAGTGTGCAACTTTTGGAAAGGCCAAGAAGATTTTTTTTTTTTGCCATGCGTATCTGTTCCAATAATTCTACACTGATTTATGACCAATATAACGGGAAAATGTGGAAGAAAAAGAAGAGTTTTCTCAGGAGTATTTCCACACTGGCTTCTCGCTATCTTTTGTTACTGTGTGTCTGTATTTGTGGTAAGAACGAATGAAGAACTAGCATTCTGATGAATGGATTTACTCACAGCTAAAACATGTTGTGTATTAGCAAGTTATTAACTTATTAGTAAAACATGACCAGCCTCGTGTGCAGATCACCTGAAATTCACCGGAGATAAATGGAGTGCATTTTGAAGATAATCTGGGAGATTAAAACACTTTGTAACAAGCCAACGAAAACAATAAATAATCAGATTATCCAACTGAATTGAATAGTTTGAACCTAAAGGAGAAACATATAAAAAGCCGGCCAAAGTTCACCTTTACTGCTCAAAGGAAGTGAGTCGCAGATTAAATAAACTCCACCTATGAGCGAGACCCAGGCGGTTTCAGTCGGCGTAGTGCATGATGGACTCGACATAGTTTCCTGGGAAGAGGCCGGTGGTGGCGTTCATCACCCCTTCGAACCATCCGTCCTCGTTCTTTTTGACAACGTAAATGATCGCTCCTTCCTGAAAGGAAAGCTCGTCCTCCTTGTCTGCGGTGTAATCATACACAGCCACCACTGGAGGGCGATACAAAAAAAAGGTCAAGTAAATATATTTTGTACTGTGGCAGCAGCTGCTTTCTGTTACAAATCTGTGGGAAACTTAGTCAATATTCCGTTAAAGTTGTAAAAAAAAAAACACAATTATGCAATTGTGGTGTTTCCGTTAAATAAGAAACTCAAATAAAATCACACTTTAATAAGCTTGTTCACATGTTACAGTAAGTTATTAAAAAAACATGTCGCGCAATCATCCTCCTATCACTTCCTGTTGACGTCATTTTCACCGGTAGTAACATCAGATGGTTGATTACGACACTTATGTGATGCAAATAAATTGTTCCTATTGTAGTTTTGTGAAATTTCAATAGCACAAAAACCTTGTCCCGAAAAACGAGATATTTCGAAATTGCTGTGTTTCCATAAAGTAAATTTATATTCAAAATTCCGCTTTGTACAATTAAATGGTCAATGGGAACGCAGCTAATTGCAGTTTGACAAAATACACTAATTTTGATACGGTGAACAAACCGCGTCATCCTTGTGCAAGAACTTTGTATTGGAAAACTGTCATTTTTTTAAATTGACATGTTTCCACTAAGTCAATTTCTTTTCATAATTCCATTTTGCGCAGTCATATGATCAACGGAAATGAAGCTACTGTTGGTAAAAAAAAAAAGCTGCTTGTGTTCAATCCACTTTGTTAAAAATAATCCTGAAGAAGAATAAAACAATTGTAATGATGGTAAAAGTGTAATCTTGCTGTAAAACGGGATTTATGGCTGATGTGACTAAATAGTCCCAACAGGTATGAAATCCAAAAACTGAGGGTATTTCTGTCTCATACCTTTCTCCAGGTAGCTTCTGGGGGCCCACGGCGGGTCCTCTTCGGCGTACGGATCGCTGTACTCCACTACTTTAGAGTCTTCCTCACCAAGTCCGTCCTCTAAAGGTTTCGGGGTGGACGGAGTCTCATCAGGCCCTGAAGGGGTGTCTGCTAACGGTTGAGGAGGAGGAGCCTCTGTAACTGTTGGTGAAGGGATGTTTTAGGGATGTTTTAGCGAATAAATGATCAACCATCAGCATCAGTGAACAAACACATTCATGTTGGTTTGTTTGTGAAACGACCAAAACTCAACAGGGACTGTTAGACTCACTGGATTCTTGAACTCGAGCAACGAAACCCATCAGAGGCAGCTGAGGGGTGAACTGCAGGAGCGATGGAGGCGGAGGCGAGGCTGCAAACACACAGGAGTCGACCAGGACTTCAAACAACCAGTGTAAAATTGCTGAGAAGATCCAGCATACATTTGTAAATAAGACAAAATATCCCTTTAAAATCGTAATTCTGACTGTTAGACAAAAGTTAGAATCTCAGAAACCACCCCTCGGGTTCAGAATCCAATATGTGCACATAAAAACTAGTTACATTTGTATATATCGCAGTATTTAATAGCACTCCTGACAGTTTGTACTCTTGAAAATGTCCCTTTTATATTTACACAGCTAAACTGGTAAAAGGTTGACACCAAAACACATAACCTGTTACTTTTCTAACGTCCAACTAGAAAACTCTCGACTCTAGAGTGCTGTCATTCCCAAATCTGAGCTCTGACTTTATCATACAAATCACCTCTACGCTAAAATCAGAAATTTCTCATTGACTTTTATGTTTATACTATTGAAATCAGAAGTTTACATGCACCTTTCAAACTAACCAAAAGCAAGAGACGTTTGGTTTAACCTCAGACAATGAGGGAAAAAATGGTGTGTGTCTTTTTAGTACGTGTATGTAAACTTCTGGTTTCACCTGTAATTGTGTTCCAAAACAGACTTCTGCTTTATCAGGACTTAATTTCTACAGAATCAGTGTTTATAAACTGCTGCCAAAACGAGGTTTCAAAGACATCCTTCTGTCATATTTTCAGCAATTAGTAAACTTGAGTGTTGAAAGGCTAACCTGGGCTCTGGTTGTAGTAGGGTCCTCCATTGACGTGGTTGGTTATCGGCTGACCAGTCACAGAAGGGGGTCGGCGGTATGGAAGTGACCCCCCAACCTGTGGGGTCTGTTGTCGAGGTTGGGGCCGGTTCATGCTGTAGAATTGGGGGACGAAGGGACCTGACGCACCAGAGAGGAACTCTGTTACAAATCTTAAGAAATGTTGATGTAAACTTTCATTTCTTGCTTGTTTAAAAGGAACCTGGAGTGGATTGAACAAGCTTTGTCTCCCTCTGCTGGCAGTGAAAGCAACTACACACAGTTGTTATCCAAAGATCTTTGGAAAGTTTGTGAGGAGGAAAAAGGCAACCAAGGGGTCACATTTTATCAGCTCTCTTTCTTAAGGAAAATGGATGTGAAGAGAATAAACTAAGGGTGCATTCAGACCAACCCTGAATGCAGGTCCGCTTTTATCGAACTCTTGTTTGTTCGTCTAGAAAGTCCAGTTCGTTTGTGAACGCACATTTAAACTCTAATGTGGTCTCGGTTCGGTTGACGTGAACTCTGGTACGGTGCAAATGCCAAGCGAACCGGAGACAACTCCAAGAGCAAGAAGTGGACTAAAAGGCAGGGCATTCTGGGTAAATAAAACCAAAACAAAGGTGTGAGTCTCGTGCCAGCAGGTGAATGGTTTGTGATCTTTTGAAAACGACAAAAGAGACCACTCCATTTTTGTCAACATTTTACAAAAGAAGGAAGTTGCACTCCACTCGTGTTGTTTCCTTCAGTGGTTCTCGGTGCAGCGCCCCCCTGGTGGAGAGGCTAACAGGTTTTTCAACAGGTTTGACATCTAAAAATGTAACAAATGTTGCAATTTTGGTGCCCAAATGAACCAAGTCTACTGGACTCAGGTATTAAAACACCTTTTTAAAAAAACTTGGGTTTGAGTCGCTGAAGTGTTCTGGGACAAACTCACCTTCAGCAGGTGAAGAAGAGGTGGAGAGTGAAGGAGGAGGAGGAGGAGCAGGAAGAGGAAGAGAAGACATTTGGGACTGGCCTTCAGAGGTGCTGGGAGAAGGGTTAGGAGGCGGGGAGGTGTTGGTGTTCGGTACGTTTGTTTGGGAGTTCGTGTGAGGAGACGGGTCGGCTTGGTGTGCGGGTGAGTTTGGTGGTAGGGGTGCGTTAGGCTGAGTTAAGGTGGCAGTGGAGGAGGAAGAGGAGAAAGAGGAAGGAGTCGGCGAGGGAGAAGGGGAGGAGTTTGGAGCTGTGGACGAAGAGCTGGACGGTCCAGCAGTCGGGGAGACTTGGGGAAGACGAGAAGGAAGAGAAAGAGGAGCTAGTTAGGAAGGAAGGTTAAAGCAGGGAATGAGGGAAGAATAAAGACAAGGTGTCTGTAGGTTTCACCAACTCAAATTTACGACTTTTTAATACCATTATGAATGTAATTTAAGAACTGCATCTCCACAGAAGAGTACAAACTTTGTCCAACCAACTGGTGATTCATTAATAGTGCCCCATGATAGATGCAAAGAAGCTAGCTTGCTAGCTATCTAGCAAGCAAAGGTATGTTAGAAGTGATTTAGTATTACAATGCAATGATATCTGAGAGTGACTTAGACTTTGCCTGACAGAAAAGACTATGAGGGGGAAAAACATAAAATATACAGGATTAAATAGTCCTGTCATGACAAAATTTAAGACCTGTTATTATGGACAATGATGTTGCTGCAGGACCTGTTCAGTAGCACAGCTGCAGCTGCAGCGTATGCATACGATGCATACGATTTAGCACCAAATCGTATGCATTGATTCTCCGCAAACATCCTGCAGCTACAAACCTGTAGAAGTATTACACAGAGAAACCCATTTGTGTGTCTTTAAGGATAAAGATTTAGTGGATGCAAAGTGGGTGTGGGCAGAAGGGCAAAGATCATTTCTTATTGCTGTTCTCCATGTAGAATTGAGCTGCCAGTGACCCTTAGGGGACAGTAGAGCCCCATCTCAGCTGGTTGGATACTTCTTCTAGGTAGGACAGAATTAAAAAATTTCCATCTTTGATTATTTCTCCTGTTGAAAGATTTATTCTTTTGGTTTGGTGTTATTTTATTGAGTTTTCTTTTGAAGAAAAGAAAGCTAATTATTTTGTTTAATTATTTAAACAGTTAGTCTGGGAAAAACTGACTGTTTAGTTTAGAATTCAAACAAAGAAGCGCAACAAAATCATACACTTCATAACAGTTTTTGGGGTGTGGGAGCTAAAACTGCCACTTCACGAGTTCTGGGGGGAACATATTTACAAACTTTTTTTTAATCTTAAATGCAAAATGTATATATTTGTATAGTAATGGCTTAATTGCTGCTTTGAGTATGTTATTCTTCCAGAAAATAGCCTTTTTTAAGCCTACTCTAGATTAATCCGTTACTAAATTATTTGACAGTTATTTTATTAATCGTTTTAGCGCGACCAATCCGATTAATCGTTTCAGCCACACATCGTCCCCTGCAGCTGTGACATTAAGCAGGTGTCCTGTTACCTGGGAAAGTGGAGGGCGGGGACGGCGTTGGCACGGCGATGGGAACGCCCACGCTGCCACTGCCGCTGTTCTCCCTGCTGCTGCTGCGACTGCTGCTGCTGGGGTGACTGCCTCCGCTGCTGCCACTGCGCACACACACGCACGCACGCACGCATGCACGCACACACACACACACACACACAAACAAAGGAAGATCAGTGCTGTGGAGACAGGTGTTCCAGCTGCAGGTTGGGCAAAATGAAACTAATCCACATTTGAACTGGAATCAAAATTTTTGCTTGTTAAAAACTGCTAAACGTTTTTAGCGACATGAAGCTTTTCAAAAAAGTTTGCAGACAGGAACAGGACATAAAATAGTGAAAACTGCACGTCCTTAGACGGTTGGCATGGCGATGGAGACGGGACGACAAACAGAAGTCTGTAAAGAGGAAGTCCAGCGAACAGCAGTAGCAGGTTCAGGTTAATGGCAGCAAAGAAGACATGAATAAACAAGCAGACAAGAACATGCAATCTGATTGGTTCAAAGCTGGAGGATGAAAGAATGTGTTGATCGTATGGGAAAAAGAGCTGACAACTATTTACATCTAATAAATATAAAAAGGAAGAAAATAACCAAAGCATCAGATGAAAAGTACTTTTACACTAACATGCACCTTGTCAAACTTGGCAAGTTTTATTTTTATATGTTCTCAAACCACTGCATTGCGTAATGTGGTGTAAACTCTTTACCAAACATATAATAAAATAATCTAACAATTAACAGACGTAAAGTCCTTTAAATTCCAAAGGGAAATTAAATATTGTCATAGCTCATATCAAAGTATCTTGAAAGAGTTGCAATGACTCTCCAGCAGGACTAAAGACTTTTGTTTTATGTTGGAGGCAAAACTTTCTGCTTTGTTAGAAATGACCATGTTAGAGCATCAGGACAAGCCCAGCAGATAACACTACCGTTCAAACAAGTGCTGGCTAAGACAAAAAAAAAAAAACACATTTCCATTTGAGTCTCAAATTCCAGGGGAAGTTTCTTTGAATTCTTTTAGCCTTGAACTTGGAAACTTGTACTTATGAGTGAGAGGAATTGCACAAATAAAACCCCCATAATTCATCCAGACGTGTCGTTCAAAAGGATTACGATGTAAAAACACGACAAACTGAAAAGAATCCAAGTCTTTGTGGTACTTACTGCAACACAATTCACTGGCTTAAAATAAAGAAAAGCATAACACTTCTCTATTACTAATGAACCACAAAAGTGCCAGAAATATAATAATTGTTTTCATTTTCACAACTGCTTCCAAAATCAAGGCACTTCTTTTCTGCTCTAACCATAAAGGACTGAACAAAATGTTTCCTGCTGGAATTGAGGAAAACAATCAATGAGATCGAACAAATGCACGACTGAAGATGAAACAAAGAAAATCAGTTAGTCGGATGTAAGCAGACAGTTAGCACAATGTGACATTTAAACAAAAAGAAAAAACTTTGCACATAAAAAGCCAGAAGCAAAAGCAGTAGAGTGAACAGCAGCAGGTTTTAGACAAGCCAAGAAGCAAGCCATGGCACAGAGTGATGAAACCAAGCCGAAAGCAAAATCCCACAGGAAGACGGAGAAGTCATGAGCAAAGATTAAGTGAAAATTCACAGGAGTCTCAAGGTTTTCTGTAAAATGTCTCAGGGTCAGATTCTAAATGTGGATGAATAATTATCTTTCCTGGATCTGTCCACATGTTAGCGTTATTTGTTTCAGCCACTTACAAACAGATTATAACTGCGGTGGCCACAAAGTAGTGATAAACTGCGTCCAAAACAATGTGAATATCTTAAATTCAAAATGTTTGCTCATGTTCAGTAAAAGTGGTAACTTGGTAGAATAGCTGTAAATGGAGGCACTGAGGCCTAAAAACATGAAAGGTGCTAAGATGAACTAAAAGGCAACATTTAGTCTCAGCTGAAGCAGAAAGTTATCAAAACGTTTTATTCAACACATGCCAGTTTAGTTTGGGAATATTGCACCAGCTTAAAGTGCATTGGAATTTTCTGCAGTTTTCTGGCCGATTGTTGATTACCGATCTTTAAGAAGTCTGACCTGCCGCTTCCAATTTAGTTCAACACCTATGTCTTTTGTCTGAAAATACACTAAATATAGCAACACAATTGTTGAGTTGGCCAGTGGGGTGACTGTCATTAACAGAGGTTGATTTATCGGCCGGCCGATTTATCAGTCCAACAATAATCGTAATAAATGAGCTGAATCAGCGATTATGTTCACACCCCAAGAAACTGAATTATAGGCTTTCATTAGCAAAAAGCCAAAATCATCAAAAGTTAACATAAATAGTTGCTTGAAGTATTTCCTCTGTGTGTAATGTATGCAAAATAAATTTAATTTAAGAAATAAATGTACTTTTGAGGATGTGTTAACTTATGAAGTTACTTCAAAATACTGCAAGTCACTTTTTATGACTAAAATAAATTCTGCTTAAAATAAAAGCACCATAATCTGTGATTTAAACCACCTCTAAAGCTCTGCTTCCAAACTGAACGTGACTGTGTTGAACATCAGGAATTTTTGAGTTTGAAAGAACAATGGGATTAGTAGAGCAAGAGCAGAGGAAGTAAATCGGAAACGCAGTTCTTTCAGTCACGTCTGAACTCTGACCCGACTACCTGTACGTGCGGGGTCGCTGGTTCAGGGTGGCGGTGCGGACCGGACTCGGAAGCTGTCCAGCACCCGAATTGTTTCTCGTCGGGCTGGAGGCATAATCATTGGGCACGACGGGAGGGCGTACCGGCTCCAGTGTCCTGTAGGGGGAGTTCTTGTGCCTGTGCGTGCAAGACGTAAAGGTGAGGAAGAGGTTCGCACAGGAGCGCAGACCTGCGGCGTTGGTCATCTGTCCCACTGTGTCACACTCATTTTTATTTTGGGCCATGTCAAGATCATGAATGTTCTTAAAGGGCCGGTGGTGCCAAAGTGTACTGATAAAACCCATCAACAAACTGTTAAAATATTAATATATAGCTATAAGTTCAATAAGTACTCCTTAAAATTAGATACTATCAAACATCTCACATCGATCAGTTCTTTCAGAATTTCATGATTGTTTTGGTGATACTGCTGTTTACAAACAATTATGCAATAGTGTGAAAAACTGCACAGATCTGTTGAATTTGTGTGAATTTTCAAGGAATTGCAAAAAAAACAAAAAAAAAAAACAAAACAAAAACAACAACAACAAAAAACGGTGGGATTGATTGATACAATTTGGTGTAGGGACTGTGGAGGGCCACACATAAAGCTTCGGCGGGTCGGATTTGGCCCCGGGGCCTTGAGTTTGACACCAACATATTCTGTTAAGGAGCCACAAGGGGGCACTGCACACCTTTTTTTTTACCCTTAAGAAGTTCTAGTAAGTGGTTAGCTCTAACGACAGCTCCTACTGTTTAATAGTCGTGGTAAGAAAACTACAGCAGAGTGACACTGGCTCCCTCTTGCTGTAAAAGAAAAGTCAAGCCAACTTTAAAGGTCAGGATGTATTTTTAGACAATTACTCCTGCAGCTCAGCAAAACTGTAGAAATGTAGGACATAAAAGCGGAACAAAAAGACTCCACAGTTTAATGATACATTCACAATAAAAACCAATCTTCCACGTTGAACCCCTCCAAAAAAAATCAAAGTTAGGTATTAATATAAACACAGAAAGCACAATTAAAAATGAAAAAAAAACAATTTTAAGACTTAATGAGCACAGAGTCTGTTAAAAACTCTGCACCCACGGTTGAACAAACATGAGGCCAAACAAAGGGAGTCATTGTTAGCCGAAGTAAAAGCTGGTGATGAATGGAGCGTTTCTCAGGCAGGATAAGAAACATCTATTTGCTACAATGCTGAAGCAGCCATGTGGGTGTCTCTATTCTAGATCTCCCGAGCTCACCACGTTTTTTTAATCCCGGCTGAATGCCGCTTTTTCACTGGAACAGAACGCGTGCAGAATGTACAAAAATGACTCAACGTTCCTCTCGGTAGTTAGTTAATGCAGGGAAGAAAAAGAAAAGAAAAGTGTGTGTGCTGTCAGAAGGAGCGGTTTGTCGGCAGCGTGTCGCCGACTTTCTGCTGTGCGTTTGTCCGCTCCCCGCCGGCCTGTGGGGAGCGGACAGAGAGGCAGACCCGTTGGCCCGGTTCTGACCAACCGCTGAGCTGCTTCTGTCCGCCGCGCTGAGAAACCGCACTTTGGATCAAATAGTGCAGATGGAGAGGTGTTGATGGAAAGAAAGCTGGAGATTATCTACTACTTTTCACAACATAAAGCACCAACACAACCTTTAATGGGGTGTATTGTTTTAAAGGTTCTGTCATTATGCTATTATTTAACCACTAACGCTGCCGATTGAGGGTGAAACAGCCGGTTGATCAGCGGGTTGCAGGAAACTGGAAGGGACATAGAGAGACAAGAGGAGACGCCTGCTGACTCTGGCAGCTCAACCTTCCTAGCTCCATATGTATACAGTTTTTTACACCTCCGTATTACAATCACAACCTTTAAAACTGCGGTATATAATATTTGGTGGAGCTCTCACTAAAAATCAAGCTCCTTCTGCTTTCTCCTTGTTGTTCTAATGCCATCTGCAGAAATCCAATGCAAACAATCAGAAACAACCAATCAAAGTCAGAAGGAGGGTCTTAGCCCTGTCAATCAACATGTGTACACACTGCTAAATGTGCTAATGATGGGGAAACAACTTTACATTTTAGGAAAACTGTTTATCTGTCGTCATCAGTGGTCATGCTAACTAATCTTAGCATTCTGCTGTGTGGAACAGAGAGAATGGGAGAGGGTGTTAGCAGGGCATACACAGGCATACTTGGCGGCGCTAAGACCCTTCTGCTGTCTCTGATTGGTTGTTTTTCACTAGGAGTGGTGCATTTCTGTAGATGGCAGTAGAACTGCAGGGAGCTTGATTTTTTTCACAGAAAATCTGTCTGATGTTCTACTGTGTCACAGTTTTAACAAATATGTAAAAAGAAAACAAACATATTATTATATTTTTATAAAAGTTACATACTCTAGCTTTAATGAAAAAAAACAATGTATAGCTTAAGAAATATTTTACATATTAAAATAGGAAAACTGAGGTATACATTTGTGTTTAACCCTCTCTGATCTGATAAATAAAGTTCAATGAACCCAACTGGCTTTAGAAATCTAAAAATACAGCCAGAGCTGCAAAAGAATCTCTTAAAATGTTGGATGGATCATTTTTCAGGGCCCTGCTGATGAAACATGCTGGTTTAAACGCCCACCAGACACCGTTGTTTCATAGAACATAATTGTGGTGTACTTTTTGATGCCCGTCAAACAATACAACAATGTGCATCTCTATCTAGCTTAGTAGCCTGACTGTCAGTGAGAACATACAGAAACAAAGGACCTGAAGGAGGATGGTAACATAAAAAAAGACAGATAGTGAGAAAATGTCAAAGGCTTGACTTTTGTATTTTAGCTGCCAATTGTTTGTTTTCAGCACTTTGTCTCTACAATTCCTAAATGAAGAGTGTCCCAATTGGTATATGAATCATATATTGAGTCTGGGTGACAGTATGATGAAATGCGACACTGAAAGACTCACCAAAATCCGGCTTTTGCTCAAATGTTTGAGGTTTGGACTATTTCAGAAGAGGAAAATGAGACTTTCTTTTTGTGTCCTCGGTCAGAGCAGCGGTTAGCTTGGAAGAGTCAACAATTATATCCGCTTTTAACGTGACAGACGCAGAAGAAAGTGACGTGCATAAAAGAAGAGGAAACAACTGTAGGATATAATACAATTATAGTGTAGGAGAAAGGGAGTAAAATACAGGTAGAGAAAAGAAGACCAAAAGACGAATAAACAGCTTGGTGACCCAGATGTTTAAGGGCAAAGAACACAACAAGCTCTCCCAACAGATGATGTTATTCCTCACAGCGCTGCGTTTCAGTGTGTGGGTGTGTGTGATTTCCCTCTGCCATCTCAAATCTGTAATAACCTCGTCACAGGACCCCCGTCTTTTCACAAGAGATTTAAATATGCGCTGCAGCCTGTTTCTAAGAGATTTCCACAGAGAAGTTGACCGTCTCATCTAACATTAACCTTGTTGTCTTCCAGGGCACAAAAAGAGTCACAAAGTTGAATAATTTACAGAAAAGTATGAAAATTACATTGGATGAGAGTAATCAAAGTGAAAGTAGGTGTACATACCCCAAGATTCCTTTTCCTGCCCTTGGAGGGCTGGGTGGTTTCTGGGTCGGGGGGTTAGTCCGGGACAGGCCTCCTCCAAGTTTCAGACTCTGCTGGCCATTTACCTGAGAAACAAACACGCTCACTATCAAAACTACTTAGTTTGGACATAATCAATCAAAAACACCAACTTGACTGGAATCTCTCATTTACATAATGTAGATTTGAGGCAAAGCATTATCACCGACATTTCATGTTCCTTAGAAAATAAAAATATGAGGAAGAATTTTCTTCCTCATGTTTTCTGCATCTTTCTTGTTCCCACTCTTCTACCAAGGCCAGATTTTGCGAGAGGATGACTAACAATTAGCTGTGGACCTCTGCAGCTTCTGCAAAGTTATAATTGGCTGCTTCTCAGTCTATTTGCCTAGGCCAGGGTTTGGCAACCCAACATTTTGAAAGAACTATTTTGGACCCAAAAGTGTTTTGTTTATTTTGTAAAACTGCTTTGGAAAAACTTTTTTTCATATCACACAATTCAGCAACAGCTGGCTGTTACTGCTGGAGAAAACGACAAAGAAGACAACAGGAAGTAGTAGGAGGATGATGGTGGAACATTATTTTTAATGACTTATCATGTGAACAATCTTATTCACACTTCATTTTAATTTAATTTCTTGTTTATTGGAAACACAGCAATTGGGAAATTGTTTAGTTTTTCTACATGAGTCTTTCAAGTTTTTGCCAGCATAGTAAAATTTCTCAGTTGACACGAGGGACAAAAGGACAGTAAAGATGGAAAATACTACAAGAGGAAGAATCTCAACATCCATATTTGTATACCGGTTAAAATAAAACACGCGTGGAATAGATGTAAAAAATCTACAATTTGTTCTGCCTGACCATCAGACATACATTATGGAGTACAAAATAAGCAGCACTTCTTCCTTTTGGCTTTCAATCATCGCCTGGTAAGACACATCAGATGCATTCGCTCTGTACTATGTGTAGGTGTGTTGTAGATTCTTACCTTGAACCTCATCAACCACTTAACACATCAGTGACAGCAGATGGAACAGGAGGAAAAGGAAACAGAAGACATTTTTATCTAAAGGTTAGGCAGAGTGCAACTGCATCATGCAAATACGGTCAATCGTTAAGAGCAGCAGACAGAAAATGCAAGGCAGAAAGAGAGCTTCAGATAAACACCGGCTGAGATAGAGACACAGAAACACAGATCAGGATGCTTTAGTTTGGTTGTAGTTTGTGATGCAGTGATACTGAAGTGTGCAACTAAATAAATCATTTTGAAAACAGAGACAAATAAACTACAGCCCAAGGGAATACTTTTTATAACTTGTGACACAGTAGGATGATGACAGTATGGTTCTCTGCCCAGGGTGACACTGTACCAGTGGGTGGCAGAAACACTTAAGAAAAAAGATATGAGCTGTACACAAAACAAACTGAACTTCAGACAGTTATGAACAAAAATATCCTGGCTTTGATTGAAACCGTTTCAGAAAAGTAAAACGGTTTCTCTGTCTTGCATCTCACTTTTTAAAGCCTGAGTTTCAGTTTCATTCACAAAAAAAAAATTGAAAAATTTGAAATTAAAAACACTGTGAAAATGTTCTATCTTAGATTTACGCTAATTTTCCTAAGGCAGATGGAGAAAAAGAGTGAATCCTGATCTTGAGAAACCCTTTCAAAAGTTTGCAAAATGCTGGATTACTTTTGTGAAAGGTCAAGCAAAAGTTTAGCAGGATACTACTTATATATACTAAAATCATGCAAGAGGTTTACAAACTCCTGAATTAATTTTGAGGGATCACGTAAAACTTTTCCGCTTTCATGCAAAGATGCCAAATTACTTTTGCGAGATCACCCAAAAGGTTTGCAAGATCCTGAATAGCTTTAGCAACATCACCTAACAGATTTTGCAAGATCGTGTTAAAGTTTTACAATTTCTCTCAAAGATTAAAAAAATTACTTTGTGGGATCAGATAAAAGTTTTGCGAGATCCCAAACTACTTTTGCAATTTCACAAAAAAGTTCTGCAAAGTCTTGAATTACTTTTATGTGATCACACAAAAGCTTTACAAAATTCCAAATTACTCTTGTGAAATCCTAAACTTCTTCTACATATTTAAGGCTTAATTCTTACCCATAAACACCATAGGATGGATATATATATATAGGCAGACTTAGAGATTTTTAGTTTGTGTTTGTACTTATTTAAAAACAAATTGAATCAATGCTCGACAGAAGACATAATTTAGATACAAGTGAGATGATCTGAAGAGAGTTCTTAGCACACGGGGACACATTTAAATCAAATCCTACGATCTGTGTTGCATTTCCACATCGATATGTTTCCCCAGCAGCTCATTTCCAGTTTATGACCAGCGGCCTTTACTCACAGAGGAACTACACACACTTTTTGAGTAGGGTTAGTTACATAGCGAGTTACAGAAACTCCACAAATATGATCATTCCACCCAAAAATTTTTTCATTTCAAACATTTTAAAGGATCTCGCAAAAGTAAGTCGGAATATTTTTTTTCCCCTCCACATCCCTTAAGGAGCTCTGAAACTTTCCTATCATGTTCTCAAATGAAAAAAGACAAACAAAACAATACAATAACTTTCAATTAGTTTTTTGTTTTTGAATTTCAGAGTAACGTTAACATGCTGGCACCGTCACAGAATTTTACGGCCTGCCACAACATTAATTACATGAGCAATCGCCGTTATTAACTCGTTTTTGCCACCGACCTTGACTCCATGTCCAGTGTCATCCAGCACGCTGTAGTCAATGGGCTTCCTGATGTAGCGCACGGGCCTCTCCAGACTGGCTGGGGCAATGATTTTATGGGAGCGGGATGTGTTTTTGTTGGTGGTCAGTATGCCAATCTCACGCCTCGCCACCTTCTCCTTGTGGATGTCGACTGTCTGCAAGGAGGAACAAAGAGTCGATAGTTGGACTTCTTTGATCAAATGATGCTTAAAGATTACATATCGTCTCAACAGATAGTGCCATATACGCACAAACCTTGTGTGTATAAGTTGTAATAACTGTGGTTACTACTTCAAAACAATGACAGAACCCAAAGTAATTTTTTTGTTTCCAAGTTGAACTCAATATTTCTTTCTCTCAGAAAGGCAGTTTGCCTTCAAATCTTCCCTTGGAATCACTGATTCCCTCATTTCCTCACCGGCTGTTAAAAACCCAGAGTGCTCAGTGTGAGAATGAAATTCTCACTGCTCTGTGTTCTCACACTCTGGATATTTTTGGAGAAGTCCTAACATGGATGACAGTCTGCCTGTGGAGCTGGGGAGTCAGTAGAAGAAGGATACTTTACTCTGGTTATCAAGTGAAATTTACAGAAAGCAGGATCCATGTGTGCACCATGTGCGGGTGGATCACTGTGTAGAGTTGGCCTGTTGAGAGCACATGAAACAAGAAAGTACTTCTTAATATAGAATGATTAGAGGCTGGCTGTGTACAAGTTCACAGCAGCCATTCTTGCTCAAGGAAGAGTCACATTTGTTTTGGCATCGCACGTCATGACGGAGATTTTTACAAGTTTGACAACAACAAAAAAAACTGAATATAACTTCAGATTTTGTATAATTTTTGTCCAGGTTAAATTAGAAAGTGAGATATTATGGTTAATTTTCTAAACTACAGAAAAATTATTGTTCGGAATCTCAACTGTGAAAAATTGGACTGATGTTGATATCTGATAGTGATACTGCTGTTATGTTAGATTTACCAATGTTTTATTTTCGCTGAAATTTTTTATCTGATTACTTGATTTATCATAAGAATAATCGATAGATTACACGATTACTGAAATATTTGTTTACAACAGTCCTAATGGACAATTATTGACATCCTATTATTCAGAAGAGCTTTATGACCAACAGCAAGGCAACCAGCTGACCTTACTGACCGGGTTCATAACCCGGTGTACTATTTGCAGCTGAAACCACACTTGTACCATCAAGGAAGAGACTGCTGTGTTTTTGTTTTTGACCTACTAGCGAAATTGGTAGTTGACATCTTTCTGTTTTGGTGAGCAAGCAGAAGGACCTGCATTGTGTGGCCTATGAGAGTTAGAGACCCGAGTAACAAGGTGAAGACAACACAGCAGTTTTGTCACCATAAACACTGTTGTCTAATCTTTTGATTAAAATGAAAGTCTCTATTCTTAATATCTATGAATGACCAATTCATTTCCTACTTATAAAGATGACAAGAGTGGTATTTTCAATGATATAATGAGGCTGGAATCCTCTCTTAGTGTAAAATTATTCGGGAGGTTTTATTTTAATCTCAAGATATGAATTCAAAACATTGTCATTTAGGAAAGCAGCAGAATAGTTCATCTGCTGCTTTCAATACAATGCTTATTGGAGTCATAGGAGTATGGGTATATTTAATAATATATAATATACATTCAAATGAGGCGCAAATGTCAGATCAAAAGCATCCTTTAAAAACAACAACCTTTAGGCAGGCATTAAACATGTTTCATTAAGAGCATATTTATGTTTTTAAAAATTGTTTCTAGTTTGATGTAATATACTAACATAATAATTTTGGGTTTAACTGTGAAACATAAAATTTAAAGCAAAGAAACACACTGAACACTGAGTCCCTTTTGCCTCCAGCTAATGACAGAAAAACAAAGTTTCATGGTACACACACTGGACATCATCCTAACAATGGCTGTTTTTTTTTTAGATGTCTCTGATGTTGCATGAATAATGTCTTGGTGATTGCAGCTGCATAAAATGCTAAATGCATTACATAAGAGTATCTTAGTGTTTGTGAATGCGAAGAAGCCTCACAGTGCAAAGTGTTCGCCTACATAACAGATGCGAGTGTCTTTCTGAACAGAAAGTGGTGATTATAACGTCCGTCCTCAGCCTGGGCCAACACAGCAGAGAGAAGCATCTCATTATGGCTGCATGGAAACTGCGCCGATAATTCGGAGGTCTAAGGGGAGAATGGACCCTCTGTACCGCTGAGAAGTCCAACTTAATTCCTCCAAGCACTCTTCGGTGCACTAATTCTTTTCAACTGAAGCCTTTTCCAAGCATTCAGCTTATTTTCTTATGGAAGCTGGCTGGGTTTGTCTGAGATGAATGCACTTGACAGAGCTGCCGTTGTGTAGGAGTGCAGCACAGTGTAACTCACTGAATCGCTAGTGATGCTTCACACCTCTGACTGTACTGGGGAGGGGGGCTCTTACATATTCCAGCTGAGTAACACAATGGGAAATTGTGCTTTATCTCCTCGGATTTGGCATTCATAAAAAAGTGGCGATACTGACTCCCGATGCAACGTGACGTCACGCAAGCAAGAAGTTGCTCGCTGACGATGACTGCCACTGCTTTTAGCTGTCAAGTTGTCAACAAAATGCGATGAGTCTTAAATGTACACGTGACATATACCAGAAAAAAGGATGCAGTGCTTGATAATGAGGTCAGGAGAAAGTGTTAATTCACAAAAATAGCAATGGGAAGGGAGGTAGTTCAGTTATGCTAGCTTGACTTTGACATCCTTAGCATCTAGATGGGCTGTGGAATTTGGTGTGTTTTGGTTCGGTTAAAAAAATAAGAAATGTGGCGACGCTCACGCCCTCTCTGACAGACCATCAGTAGAGCAGGGGTTAATATTAACTAACCAACCACTGCTGTGTTCAGAAGATCACTTATTAATACTCACAAAATAAACATCAAGCACAGAAACATAAAAGTGTCATGACAAGATCAGGGTCAGGCTACGAATTTCTTTTAAAATACAACAATGAAGTCTTAACATAACAAGGGTAGTCATATCTTTATGAAAACACCAACGTGAAAAATAACAAAAAAATAGGAATGTTGAGCATTTTTCACAGAAAATACATCATCTTTTAACACATCATCAAATTATTATCAGCAGCAGAACTTTGAAACGACATGTCACTCGATGACTGGAAGCTGCCTCTATGTTAAAAGATGAAATTATTTTCCTTTGTGATGCTCGAATAGAGACAGTGAGTTCACTCAAACTTGATACTGAGTTTTAATTCCACACGCTACTGGAATGTTTCTGAGAGTTTCATCTGATTAGCATGAAACTGCAAAAGGTGCTATTTTGAATTTGGAAACTATTTTGAATTTCTACCATATTGAAGAAGCAGCTGACATAATAATTTGTTCTAATAAAAACGACAAAATGTCTCAATACAGAAATAGTTTGTACCAAACATGTATCCTAAGCATGCTTTCTGCACAGATATGTAAAGAAAGACAACATGCTTCTGCACTTTGGCCGCTTCTCAATGGCTGTGAATAGTTCTTTCGATCATTAAGTACAAAGTTCAGAAATAGATTCAGAGCTGCTCCACTCAGCCCGAGAGTGGCTAAATGAACCTTCATGCATGCATACATGATTATGACCCACGAGTCCTTTTCCTCTGGATAAGAGAACCATGTATGACTTTATTCATTATGTACTCCAAAAAGCAATGTTCATAAATGCTGCATTCATAAATCTTTGGTTTCAAAGACGAAGATTAGAGAGAAAATAGAATCGTGCAAATAGAAATTATTGAGTTTGTTTGAATTTCTAATGTTATTAATTGTTTTTGAGTTTATTCAAACAGGCCTAACTGGAGTTAAAATGTGTAAACGCTCGAGGGGTATGAATATTTTTGGAAGGCTCTACATATCCCTACATACACATAAATGGGTATTTCCTATTTGCTTCCTGACTATGATGTTTTTCACTCAAGTGAGAACATTTAGGGTCACCAGACCTGTGAGATATGGTTGACGGAGCTCTCCATGCGGCGGAGCTGCGAGGCCTGGATGTCGAGCATCTGCAGCACATTGTTGGCCAGCGTATTGATAAGGTAGGCGACGCTGGCCAGAGACTGGGTGGTGTAGCTCTTGGTCTCCTCCAGCGCTTGTTCTTTGTCTGCAGACTGTGGACGGAGGGGACAGGAGACAGATTTGGGACAGGAGTCAGGCAAGACGAACAGCTTCAAAAAACAAAACAAAAAAAAACAAAAACAAAGATAAACTGCAACAAATATTTCAAATGATTCAGAAAGTGCAATTAAGAGTTCTAAACATAATAGAAAATAAATGTGCTCAAAGCACATAGCATAGAATTACACTGAATAAATCATGCTGGGCGGATGGATAGAAAATATATGATGTACAGTCCTCATAAGTACAGAAACACCATCTGTGTGTGTGTGTGTTTGTGTGCGTGTGTGTGCGTGTGTGTGTGTGTGTGAGTGTGTGTGTGTGTGCGTATGTGCGCTCAAGCACAATATAGGTCAGCGCAAATTCATTCATGCCTGAAGTTGACAAGAAACACACTGACACCCAAATGTGTATCTACGCATGCACGCGTGTGTGTGTCTGCACACACAGCTGCACAGAGACGAGAAAGATGATAACTGACAACGGAAAAGAAAACACGCACACCCAGTTTGTGTCATGACTTCAGATGACCCATTGCCCTACATTCTCAGCCAGAGCCCAAATCCACGCTTCTTGAGCCACACCGCGGCTCCAGAAAACATTTCAATCTGCCCCGGCTTCCAGTCCTGTCAGCGGCTTGAGGAGCAGCTTCCAGTTTCTGCAGGCGAACTGCTAGTGGTGAAGCCAAGTGCTACCTGAGGTCATACAGACACGGGGTAGTTAAAGCATTATAATTGGCGGCATTAAAATTTCTCTACGAGTAACAAACAAGCTCCACTGCTCATTAAAATAATCCTGTTCAAGCGTGGTTGAGATGTTACTGCCAAATTTTCTTCCTTGTACTTATACAGCTATGAATATGCAAGTTCCCTCAGACTTTATGTAGAATTTATGTGAACTAAAAATAAAAAAGCGGCCACTTGATCCCTGTGCTGTTTCCTTCTAACCTCTTACTGCTGAGCCTCTGGAAAGTCACTCCTGGATATGCGCTGAGCTCCATTATTATGGTGAGATTTTAACGTTTATGAGAAAATAAAACGATATCGTCTTCACAATATTTTACTACACGTTAGAGAAAACTCATAGTGGCAGACATTGACACTCTCTTTGTGGTTAGCATTAATTTGGATGAAGGATGTGGGATTCAAAGTGTTCTGCTGCATCGGGACTGGTTATGTTACTTTTAGGATGTTTTCACACCTGACCAGTCCAGTTCGATCAGGACCAAAATTGCAACATTTGTTGCAACTTCAACTTTCGCAGTTTGCTGTCACACTGTCAAAAAACCAAACCTTTTGAAAGACCTGTTCACCTCCTCCCTGTGGTGGCGCTGCACCAACAGCCCCTGGAGGAAATTACATGGAAGCCTTTAAAGAAAACACTGAGCGCAACCGTCCTTCACAAAATGTAAACAAAAAATGGAGTGGCGTCAGATTTTAGTGGTTGCAGGGTTGCTTTATTGTGTTTGGTAAAAGACCACAACCCATTTTTCCTACTATTGCTTTTTTGTGTGTTTGATTTGGTTCTATTTACCCAGAATTCTTTGCACTATGGTCCACTTCCTGCTTTTGGAGTGGTCTCCCGACTGCTTGGCATTCACATATGCATTTGAACCACGCCAGAGCTCACTTTGACCAAAAGGTCTAGGTTTTTAGGCGTACCAGAGTTTGCATTTTCAGTCCATGTCAGAGTTTGACTGCGCATTATCCAACAAAAGGAATGGTCAAAGGAAGTAGAGTTCATTTAAAACAGACTGAACAAGGCTGGCGTGAATGCACTTTTAACGTGCCATTACAACTTAATTCCTCTCATATTTAAGGATGAACTGAAACATCATGGAAATTATGTTTCAATGTTCAATAGTGCTCCTAACTGATCAAAAAATTATTAGTATTATTAATGAAAAAGTAGGAAGGTCTAAGGTTTAATTAAATTTCCAATCATAGAGCATGCTGAGGGGAGTAAAGCACCTAGCATAGTGTGAGATGAATAAACATTGGGATTGGTGAATTGTTGCAATATTTACACATTAGGTAAGAGCTGTGACTATGGAAGTTTTTTGACACTTAGTGATCAAACAGTGTGAAATACGTAAAAAGACATGCTGAAGCATTGTCTCCTATGGCATTGTGCCAAACTTAGTTTTAGGCGGTTGGTTGTACTCTTTTGGCTGATAAGTGCATGTCCTCATTCAGCTGAAATAATAGTAACATGATCTTTTCTCTTTTGAGAGGCTGAAAGTTGGCTTAAAGTACTGCAGTGTGTGACAGTAAGATTTTGGCTGATTTTAGTCCCTAAAAATTAAGGGCAGAATGTCCTTACGTAACATTTATATTTATGTTTACATTCAGGTACATCTGCAGTTTAGGCTTATGCGTTGTTGACATTTTTTGTTTTGAATCCTTTAACTGTCTTTCTATGTCACTTTTTCATTTTGGTCTGCCAAGCTTTTTTCTTCAACATTATTTATTTTCCTCCCTACATTTATGACAACATCCTTACATCTCCTCTACAGCTCCTTCTTTTTCCTATCAGACCTCTAACGTCCCGTTAGCAGTGACCTAGTTGGACCACTGCCCTCTCAGGCCTAAGGCGAGGGCAGAACAACACGCGCACATATATATACACACGTACCAACGTTAATAAACCCAGATTTTTATTTCCAACTAAATTCATATACATGAATCACATTAGAGCTACACTGATTCGTGTGCATGCTCTGATTCCTCTGACCTCTTTTTTTTAATGAAGACATATGTGAGTTTATTAATCACCATCTGGATGTTTCCTGCTGTATTTTTAATGCATATGGGGACATTTTAGCACATCAAAATACAGCTACAACAAATCCCCCTCACCCCCTCAAAATAGAATATTGATCTTAAATATTATCTTGAAAGGGTCAAATGACATTTATTCAAAGGAATGAAAAATGCAATCTTGAAGCAAAATGAGAATCGAAAAAGATATCCAAACATCTAGATTTGGATTTTGCTCTACAGCAAGTCCAAGCCCTGCATCACACTGATGTTAGAACCTAATTGTTATTATATTGTATATGATACTTATTTTGGTAAGAATTTTGATTTATCATTGTCACAATAAATTCTGATTAATAATGTCTAAAATCCCCTAAAACTGCCCATACTGTCAGAATCATTGCTGTCATTTTCGCCTATGTTTGTTCAAGAATAGTCTCAAGAAATATCAATAAATTCAAAAGTATGACTAAATGCAGGTACTGTGTGCAGTTTATTGATGCAAGTCATACTCTTTATGGGAGTGGTGTCCTAAAAAAGCACAAATGTGTTTTGTTTTTCCAAAAGCAGTATTAGAGTTTATTTGGCTTTGATTGCTCTGCCATGGAGTCACATCTATACAACCAACTAAAAAACGAAACTGTAGTTTTTATTGTCACTGTTATCGTTATAGCAGAACAAAATGTTGTGATAAAACTTTAAGTCCATATCGCCCCCCCTACTCATAGGTGTAAAAGTCTTTTTTAGGCTGCTCTAAAACATTACGATTGTTGGGGGTTTTTTTTGTTTTCAAACCATTCAGAGGCATAATTGCTGGTTGGCTTTAAACTATTGTTCTGCTTCATAACCCATGTGTGCTTGAGATTACAGCATGTTCGGTAGGCACTGGGCAGATGTTGCTTGGCGGTGTGTTCAAGTGCATCTTCTACCCCACTTGCCCCGCTGAAGTATTGACAACCACCAGAAGACTACAGGCTGCTTTTTTTTACCGTAGAAGGAAAGGTCCGTTGCTCTGCATGTCACAGACGGTTTACAGCTCAAATATATGTGTGTACTGTAAAGATTTACTGTTATGGTTTCAGTAAAACAGTAAGAAGTTTCCAATATGGGAACATTTAACAGATAAATTCCTCTGTAACTAAGAAATTAGAAACTTTTAAATCAGCCTTTCTGTTTCTCTGTACAGTACCTCTTTAGATGTAAGGTAGAACAAGACAGCTTTTAGAACTTTTGTTTATTTTGTGAGACGCTGTAATGATCATGTGGTTAATGCTCTGTGACATCAATTTTCCTCAGACAGAAGAAACGTATCTGAACAATAAACTCTTGGCCAATGACTGCACTGTCTGGCTCCTGAACCAGCCAAATTCATCAAGTTATCAACTAGTGAGTTCATCTAAAGTTCATTGACTTTATCGATTGACTAACAATTAACTGATAAAAACCTGAGTTTTCTCTTGTCAAGACAATGGGCCATCTTTAAATAACATAAAAGGCTAAATTTTTCCTAAAATGCTAAATTTGGAACAACTACCAAACAAATATATGTTAACAATTCCCTGAGTAAGGGGATAACTTAAGCTTGTCAAGTGTTTATGTTTCAAAACGTAACAGCGTAAGTTCACCGGACCGATTATTTTTGCTGTTCTGTTATGGCCCTGCCATCTTTGTTTCTGTATCAACCGGCTAGCTTAAGGATGTCCAGTGGTGCCCTCTTCTGGATGGCAGCCAAGACACAACACTAAAAGAAGGTGTGAAACTACATCATTACTTAATCTTTTAGAACTATTTTTAATTTAGTAAACCATTAAATCGATATTTAATTAATTGTAAGTTGATTAATTATTTGCCTCTCTAATAGGAGTGTAGTTTGATAAAGACACCATGTATTCATAAGGTTTAAGAATCGTAAATTATGTCATGTTATTTGAACTGTAGATGTCCTGATTGGTATCAGTTCCTGAAGAAACCTGGTCACTGTGTTGGTCTATCTGAGTTTTGCTGCCTCCTTCAAACAGCAGAAATATTAGTCAAGTATTAAATATTAGTAAATACTATTAAATATTAGTCGCTCAAAGCTAATCACTAACTTAATGAACACAGAAGGCCAGATTTTCTTTAAGATTAATCCAAACTGAAATGCAAATGTTCAAAGACATAACAGGCATTAGTTCGCACTTAAGCTAGCTGACTCCCCTGAATTAAAGCGTAAACATCCTTAAACAGGTATCACT